GATAGATAGATAGATAGATAGATAGATAGATAGATAGATAGATAGATGAGAGATGGTGGAGGAAGGGAAGGAAGGAGTGCCAGAGTATGCAGCAATCCAACCAGCACCCAAGTAATTAATTCAGCAGGATTCATTTATAGAAGAAACTTGTTTATATACAATAAAGTATGATGCATGTATATAATACCCATGCAAAATCCAGAAGTCATAATCACAGAAGCAATATAAATAAGAAGCTATATATTACAGAAGCAATGATCCAAGGACAAACTAACTCTTATATATAGACCAGTAACCCTAAGCCACGCCCAATCTCCAAGCCGTCTGGCTCATAACAGGTGCTGTTTCTTAGTCACCAAACAGTTCCCATTGGCTGGCCTGTTACCATGTCTATTCCAATGCATGAAATTCCTTCCTGCTCTTTCCATATCTGAACACAAGACCATCTATCAAGATGAGCCAACAGCTGAGATTGTTCCAAAAGGCCATTGGATAGTCTTGGTTTTCTTTTTTTCCTTTGAAAACATTTCACTTCTCATCCAAGAGAAGCTTCTTGAATGAAGAGAAGGGCCAGGGGAGACATGATAGCAGGGTTCCAATATTTGAGGGACTGATACAGAGAGGAGGGGATCAAGCTGTTTTCCAAAGCACCTGAAGGCCAGACAAGGAATAACGGATGGAAACTGAACAAGGTGAGATTCAACCTAGAAATAAGAAGAAATTTTCTGACAGGGAGAGCAATCAACCAATGGAACAGAAGTTGCCTTCAGAAGTTGTGGGAGCTTCGTCACTGGAAGCTTTCAAAAAGAGGCTGGACTGCCATCTGTCAGAAATGGTGTAGGGTCTGCTTGGGCGGAGGGTTGGACTAGATAGCCTACAAGATCCCTTCCAACTCTGTTAATCTGTATCTATCTGTATCTGTAAGATGGTGGTGGTATAAAAAAGTCTCAAAGATATGGCTATGGTCTCCATGTTTAGATCCCCACTGCATACATTCCTAGTTGCAAGTTTTCACATATTCAGTTGTACCTTTTGGGATGGAGCTTAAAACAATACTACTCTTGTGTTGAAATATTATCCTGCCTTTTTCACCTCTGCTACTTCTTATTCTCATTTGATTAGGATGTGCTTGTTCTTTGACATTTAATTCAAAGGAGAAGCACATTTCCGAGAATGTAACTGCAGATGTAACTGTTTGTTTTTTTTAAAAAGCTTTTATTTTAATGTCAACAAAATATGCCACATTTTAAAAACCGGAAAGCGAAAATACACAAATACACAAAAGTGATACATAAATAAATTCCTGTGTATTTTGGGAGGCTGGAGAAAGACCTTTGTCATCTCAAATAGTTGATATAAAATGTGCCTATAAAAAATATTTGCACAGATGGAGGCAACTGGGAATTCAATACGTTGCTATTGCAACTTAAAAACTGGGGATCAAATGTAAATAAAACAATTTTGAATTAATGGCTTGTTGGTTTGATTTTGAATTAATGGCTTGTTGCTTGTTTCTTAATTTTTTTATTTTTTTAAAATCCAATCCTCTTTTCTACACTTTTAAGTATCACTGATTCAAGAAAACCTGTACTTTAATTTTCCAGTGTTTTCTATTGTAAAACTGTTAGCCAACTGATTAATTACACCATATTATAAGTTCTGGGGGGAAAGGACCATAACATTATAGTACAGATAGTCCACAACTTACAACAGTTCATTTAGTGAACGTTCATATTTACATCGGCAATAAAAAAAAGTGACTTAGGACCATTTTTCACAGTTACAACTTTTGCCACATGATCCAAATTCAGATGCCTGGCAACTGACTCATATTTATGATGGTTGCCATGTCCCAGAGTCACATGATCCCCTTTTGCGACCTTCTGACAAGCAAGGTCAATGAGAAAGCCAGATTCACTTAACAACCCTGTCACTAACTTAATAACTTCAGTTATTCACTTAACAAGTGTGGTAAGAAATGTCCTCAAATGGAGCAAAACTCACTTAACAAAAATCTCATTTAACAACAGAAATGTTGGGCTCAATTGTGGTTGTAAGTCGAAGATTATCCGTACTGTTTTTCATGCTTGTTTTTTGCTCTCCTCTACCCCACTTCCTCAAAAATGTTCTATTAAAATCCATAAGTAAATGGACAACACCATTGCAGATGTTCCAGCTAGATTAAAACATCTCTAACACAATTTAGAAAGACTATGGTTAGTAGATTACAATTCTGTGGGGGGTTATGACGATCTATCATTTGTTTTCATCATGTATTCTTGATGACTTGTCAAAATATATTTAAAATAATTTGGTAAAGAGTTCTAAGCCCTTTTCTCATATTTTAAGATTTTCAAGAGAGCCTCTTATAATTTATATAAGAGTTTTATATAATATCAGAGAACTTCCTTTGATTTTAAATCACATTAGCATTGCTAATGTTCTTCAGGGTACAAGTTCATGAGCTTAAGAATATTTTTTTTGTACTTCTTTCATTCATTCTAGACTAAGTTAGAACTTGCAACAACAACTTCTGCAAAATATATTCAGAAGAAGTAGTGAGTTTCAATAATCCATCTTCTAATCCTATAAAACTGTCTATCTTCCCATTCCTTGATCATATTTATCCTCATATTTAAAATCTGGGTGATCAGGAAATGGGAAGAGAGGAGAAAGATGAAGGGAAAGAAATTGGTTCTACTTTTCTAAATTTTGATCCAATGAGAATTGGATATATGATAGATATTAATTTCTTAATATCAGAGACAGGCTGCAGTACCCAAATAGATTGAAAATCCAACACTAATGTAATTTGTATCCACTGAATATCTTTTCAGTTCTGAATAAAGTGAGTTATTTATTTTAACTGAAAAGCATGAAAATAATAACCAGCTCTTCATCTTATTTTTCTGGTTGGTAGTTTTTTTTATAATTATTTATACACAGCCACCAACTTCTACAAAAAAAAATATCAATGAATTTATGTTATCCTTTGCCATCTACAAAATCTGGCAATAGGGAAAGGATTTGGAAATACTTGAAACAAATACAGTTTGATGAGAAACTAGTGTTTCTTCTTGTGGCTACAATATTTGGCCAAATAATAACCTGGAACTAAGGAGAAATTTCCTGATAGAACAATTAATCAGTGGAATGACTTGCCTCCAGAAGAAGGTTCTCAAAGAGAGATTGGATAACCATTTGTCTGAAATGGTATAAGGTTTTCTGCTTCAGCAGGGGTAGGACTAGAAGACCTCCAAGGTCCCTTCCAACCCTATGATTCTGTGGCAAAGAGGTTGATTTAAATTCTGCTTTGGAGAGGACTACAACTGTATTTCTTTCATTGATAGCAATCTTTTCTAATAATTACTCCTAAGTATTCCATTCAACTGGGCCACCACAAACACTGTTAGGTATTTGGAGAGATTTTTTTTTGCAAATGTTTAATAATATAGTAGGTTGTTTACTTAGTGACATTTCATTGTCTGGTCATCTTTCCCACAGCCTAGACTTTTCCTGTTTCCCACACTACTACTGACCCTCCACGGGAAGACCTCAAGTACTTTTCCCATGGCTCTTGTTCCAAGTAGGAATTGTGAGCACGCAGAGAGACTTCGGCAAAGAAACAAAAAAAAAAAAATGTGTCACATAAGAAAACAGAACTAGCCAGTGCATCTTCCATGTTCACCTTTCAAATGCATGATACTTTTTTGGGATAGTGGTGGAATTTTTTAATAATTTTGAAATCATGGGATGATAAACAAGAGTAGATGCCATTCAGTGATGCCCAAAAGTGCATTGGAGAAATTTGAGATTAGTGGCTTGCCATACTTTTCTAAAATGATGGCATATTTTCTTGATCATGATCATGCTCGTAATAAGGCTATTTTCTGACTATAACTTTTCATATATCCTCCTTAAAAGGTGTATTTTCCCACATTCTGTGATGGAGATCTTTTTTTTTTTTTTGAACAAAACAACCAACAACAAAATGAACAACTATGATTCTTGGACATACCTGCAGTGAATAACTATGGGTCCTGCATCAGGAGGTGTAGAAGCTTTGACTCTGCGAATGAATGCCAGCAGCCCCGTGGCATGGTAGGGTACCCCGTGTTCTGGCCATGACGTGAAGTGGAACTGCTTTACTTCATGCCTTGCTGAATAGCCCCTCTGCAAGTAATGAGAGTGAGATAGAGGACAATCTTATATGTGGTCTGGCACCAGACTAGAAACTGGGAGACAGAGAGTTCTAGACCTGCCTTGGGTAGTTTCTCAGCCCTAAGAACAAAACAAAACTTCTGAAAATGTTGCTGAGATAACTATGTCTAATAATTATCCATGTGGTTGCCAGGAATCAAGACTGACAGACTAGAGAAGTAGACAGAGAGAGACAGACAAGAGTGAGTGAGTGAGAGAGAAAGAGAGAGAGAGAGAGAGAGAGACAGACAGACACACACACACAGACAGAGACAGACAGAGAGAGAGAGACAGACACACACACAGAGAGACAGAGAGACAGAGACAGACAGACAGACAGACAGACAGACAGACAGACAGACAGACAGACAGACAGAGGCAGAGTGTGCAGTGTTCTTAATAGAATCAAACTATCTGCACTATTGATGTCCAAAGCAGCTATTAGTTGACTTGACCCTTCCTTCCTTCCTTCCTTCCTTCCTTCCTTCCTTCCTTCCTTCCTTCCTTCCTTCCTTCCTTCCTTCCTTCCCTCCCTCCCTCCCTCCCTCTCTCCCTCCTTCCTTCCTTCCTTCCCTCCCTCCCTCCCTCCCTCCCTCCTTCCTTCCTTCCTTCCTTCCTTCCTTCCTTCCCCTTCCTTCCTTCTTTCCTTCCTTGCTCTGCTTCCTAGGGCTGAGAGAAAGGTGTTGTTGACACAGGTAGCTTTACACCCAGGAGTAGCAATAGCAATAAAATTATGTACATTTACCATTGTACATAAATGGTGAGAAGGTGGAGAGGGTTGGTAGTTTTAAATTTCTGGGCACTTATATCTCGGAGGACCTCTCATGGACTATAAATGCTAAGATGCTTGTAAAGAAGGCACAGAAGAGGCTGTACTTCCTGAGAATGCTCAGAAAGATAAATCTATCTCAGTATCTACTTCTGTCCTACTACCGCAGCACCATTGAGAGTGTCCTGACATGCGGCACTCTTGCATGGTATGAGAGCAGCTCTGTAGTAGACAAAAAAGCTTTACAAAGAATCATTAAAACTGTCCAGAATATCATTGGGCTCCAGCTACCAGCCCTGGACGACATCTTCGCATCTCCCTGTTTGAGGAAGTTGCACAACATTCTCAGAGATTCTTCCCATCCTGCTCACAATCTTTGTGAACTGTGGCCTTCTGGCAGAAGACACAGAACAATTAAAACTCGGACCACACATTTTCTGAATAGTTTTATCCCAGAGCTATAATTGCACTTAACAATGAACTTAAGGACCATCATCAGTGAGCTGTTGGACAGTATTACTTGGTCTGTTGTGTGGATGCTTGTGTGTTTTTAGGAGGCGGGGAATTTTGGCGGGTGGGGAGGTGTTTGGCGATTATCATGTGTGCGTGCATGTTAGGTCTGGTCTCTGGGTGTTATGTGAATTTTGTTGTATGTATACTGTGTATATACATACAATGACAATTAAGAATTCAATTCAAGTCAATAGCACTTAAAGCTTCATAGTGCTTTGCAGTCTTCTCTGAGTAGTTTATAGAGTCAGCATATTGCTCTCAATAATCTGGGTTCTTGTTTTACCCACCTCAGAAGTATAGAAGGCTGAGTTAACCTTGAGCTGGTCAGGATTGAACTCCTGATAGTAGGCAGAATTAGCCTGCAATACTGCATTCCAACCACTGTGCCACCAGGACTCTTAGAATTGCATGTATAATTCACACAATCTCCCAGTTTTTAGCCGGATGCTTTCATCAGTACACCAAACTGCATCTCTGAACCACACACTCTTCCTTAAAATGAAAATTAAATTAAATTCCAGTCCTCCTCCTCTTTCAATTTGTACCAGATAAGTTCAAACTGCTCCTACAAACAGCTAGCCTTGATCCTATTTGGCAAAGCCCACTAAGAAAAAGGAAATCTATCTCAACTACAAGGGAATTTTCACAATCAAGTCGAAAGCAAAGTTATTTAGCAGGAGCTAGCAGATTGGAACTGCCAGGTTTTTAAAACCAGAAGATAAAATTAAATTCACACTGAACAAAGTTAACTACTACTTCAAAAAAATGTCCAGCGCTCTCTAAACTAAATTGATCTTGTTTAATTATCAAAGGCAAATGAAGTTCTAGTTGTTAATGCAAAGGAAACCTTCTGGTGCTTTCTAGTTTCACCTGTGGCAAGTATAATTATGGAGGCTACAATTTACTTGGGCTGACAGGCAGTAGATTACCAGCGCATTATTGCATTGAACCCGGCATGGAAGAATACAATGTGTCATGCCTTCACTTTGGGAAATGCAACCCAGAAAATAGTTGTGTTCTTATTGTAATCTCTCAAACAGAATCAGGGAAATTGGGGGGAGATGGTTAATCTGGTTTGCCAGATTGAAGTGAGGATTTGAGAGCAAAGGGGAGCACCAAGTCGGCCCTTCTGAGGTCACCGGAGGAAAACTGGAACAAGAAATACAACTAGGAATGAATTTTAATCACAAAAATGGGCTTATTCCAGGACTGAAGGTCGGTGCTCTCTGTTCTGCTTTGTGCATTGCATCCTAAATCACTTATCATTACTATGATAGAATGCATTCTTGCTGAGCTGCTGCCAGGCAAATTTAATATGCTCAGAAGATGACCTGTTTCCAGGTTTCCTCATTAACTAGATTCAGTAGTTTTGATGGGGGAAGTCCCAGATCCCTGATTAAGGTCTCCTTCTACTGAAAACTACAGTAAATACCTTGGAATGGTTACAAGGCAACTAGATCCCTGAGGCTCTTTTGTACTTCACTGGAAACAAGGTTGTCATTTAACATTTTTTCCAGAGTAAGGAGGGAGGGAGAGCAAATTACCACTGTGGTTGTCCCAAGGTTGAGCAATTACAATTGCTCAATAATTGCCTGAACCTTGCGACCTCTGTCTACAAGATAAAAAATGATTATCCATTCCCTGTACAATTAATATGGTGCTTAGGCTCAAATTAATCCGTCAAGAATGTCCATGTAAATAAAGGGGTACTCTACAATATTATTTGCTAAGACGATGACTTTGATGGAGTTTCTAAAAGCTATACAAGAAGGCTGAGATGGCATGAAACTGATCAACAGGAAAGGTTAATGTGTTAAAATGTGTGTAAGAAGAGCTGGGCCCTCACCGGATTATCCACCATCTTGGGATGTATACAAGAGAACAAAATGGTCTTAAACACGTGGGAAAGGCTTAACACACCTGAAACAGCAAGAAAGAAGAACAAAAGGCAAGAAGGAAGAAGGAAGAGCAGAAGCACGTAACCTAGGAAGTTTGTCAGTAAACTAGGATTTTCAAGATTAACTAGTTTAACTCCTAGTCTCTATGGACCCAGCCGTGCATTTTTCTTGGGAGTAATTATGATAGTGCTGAATTCTTCTAGGAATGTTTTCTTGAAGTCTCAGATTAGTTTAGTTTACTTTATTGTCACTGTACCTTGTACAATGAAATTAAATACCATATTAAATACTTCAGTGTACATTATGACTATGAAAATAAACACAAACACACATCCTTCACATTCTATACATTGAATTGAAAACCCCTGATATTGCATGAATATTGCACTACACAGTAGAATTCAATAGAGTTGCTGCCCTGGGATAGAAACTGTTTTTCAGGCTATTTGTCCTTGTTTTTATTATCCTGTACCGTCTGCCAGATGGTAATAGTTAAAAAAAAAAAGGGTGTCCAGGATAAGATGGATCTTTGAGAATGTTTTGAACTTTCTTAAGGCAGCAGGAACTATAAAGCTCTTCCAAAGAGGGGAGAGGGCAGCCAATGATCCTCTGGGCAATGACATTAACCCTCTGGAGCACTGTCCTATCTGCCACTGTGCAATTGGCAAACCATACACAGTTGCAGTAAGTTAAGATACTATCTAATAGTTTACAGCCCTGGAATTTTCTAATGGTCTCTTAGTGGTCTGCTACCCAAATATTATCCAGATCTGACCTACTTAGCTTCCGATTCCAGGTAAGTCTACCGCATTTTTACCGTGTTTACTGAGATACCCTGGTAAATGGACAGTCAATGACTAGCTAAATTTACTATGGAAGTCATTTTTCTGTGAACAGCAAAAGCTCTCATGATCGCCCTTTTATAAGAATAGAGAGACAGCCGTCTTTCAAAACTCCAAACATGTTCACTGAACCAAGAACCGTTTGCCTATTTTACATTAAGCCTTCCCTCCTTGCAAACTTTTACATTACAGCTTTGGCTCTTGCCATTCCTTCAGGGGAAAGGGGTTTTGTCAAGGCAGCTCGCCCACAATTGAATGATCCCTGTCTGGAGAAAGAACATGACTGATGCAAGATCTCCAAGCAACGGTTTGAATGCAGAAAAACCTGTTCCTTTGACATCGCATCCATGTCTTTTGATTCCGGTTGCAAAACCAGCCTTATCAAAAGTGTATAGATTCAATACGTCAAAGGTAGGAAATAAAATAGACTGAATAAAAGTTAAAAACTGAATTCAAAGTAAAAAGGTAAGAAGGATGGCCACCCACTGACTACATTCAGCAATGGACAATCGGTCGTCTTTGAAGATCACAATTTAGCACAAAAACACAGCAAATCTTATAGGTGTGATGGATACGTTTCTCTGCTAACAGCTAACACACATAAAAGTCACCAAGTATACCTTGAAAGCTCAATTAGAAGATGGACCATAAGAGCAGTCCTCTGTCTATTTTTAGCCCCATAGAAAAAAGTGGATTATGGACTCTCCTCAATCAAACACACTAGGGCAGCTGGTAATCTCTCAGCTTGGTTGTGTCCTTGCAGATGTTTCATTACCAAACTAGGTAACACCATCAATGCATTGATTACAGGAACTGGGCATGGCTAGTCTAGTGAAGAGAAGGACCAGGGGAGACATGATAGCTATGTTCCAATACTTGAAGGCCTGCCACAGAGAGGAAGGGGTCAAGCTATTTTCCAAAGCACCTGAAGGCCAGACAAGGAATAATGGATGGAAACTGAACAAGGAGAGATTTAACCTGGAAATAAGGAGAAACTTTCTGACAGTGAGAACCATCAACCACAGCTGGCCTTTGGAAGTTGTGGGAGCGTCATCACTTGAGACTTTCAAGAAGAGATTGGACTCCCATCTGTCAGAAATGGTGTAGGGTCTCTGCTTGGGCAGGGGGTTGGACTAGATGATCTACAAGGTCCCTTCCAACTCTGAATATCTATTATCTGTTAACTAGTTTGGCAATGAAATGTCTGCAAGAAGACAAGCTCAGAGACCACAAAGGACTCTGCAGTTGAACTCTGAATTACAAATATTCTCTTCTAATCAGTAGACAAGGGCAGATACAACCATTCACTGGTATGTTTTGGAAACACACACATCCCTTCCATTACTATCAGCAACACATCAAAACAAGCTAATGAAAGTAGGCTTATCAACTTCTGAGACCCTAGAAGGAAAAAGATGGAATCTGAGAACTGGCTGCATTACAGTACCTATCCAATCTACGTACACAATCCATTTCTCTAGCTTTGCTAAATCCCAGATATGCTAAGCAACTAGGGAAGAGATCAAATCTCACCAATGCAAGAAACCACCCATATGAACAGAAAAATAAGCATGGCTAGGTTTCCTGCTAAAAAATATTAATTTAAGGGGATAAAAAATAACTCTATAATCTAGGCTGTAGACTCCAAGAGACGTGTTCTGCTTCCAAGTTAAGTATGGTGTTTGCAACACATTTTGGGAAAGAATAGAACATTCAAAGAACTATTTTGACAATCTCTAGGTTCTTTTCTAAACATCACCCCACATAGCAACAGCAGTAAGCCCGTGGCATTAAAAACTTTTAGCACTGAAGCAATATGGAAGTCACCAATTCCATGATCAAATTTCAGCTTGGCCGAGGCAGTGTTTTCAGCATTATTCATTAGATATGGCAATTGTGCATTCCACAATCCTGAGGCATGAAAAAGTTTTCCCAATATTTATAATAATCCCCTTGGTTCTATTGCCTGTCTGTTAATCTGCCACCTGTGTTTAATCGGTCCCTTGGCAAAAACTCTATCCTTAATTTTAGACTAGTTTGTATTCAACATATCTTCTGTACAATAGAAAACCAGAGCCCTTAACATTCTCCTCAATTAAATTATGACTGTGAAATCAAAAAAAGCTAAATTAGAGAGTGGTTGGCCTACTAGACAATGTGGGTGATAATATGTCTGATCTGTAATTAAAGAATGTAGGTATGTATGTCTCTGGTGTGTTAAACAATGATGGGTCTTACAAGCAGCCTTGCTTGGCATCTTTTCAATTAGGGATCCTGTCTGACAGCTATCCTTGACTATTACATTCAATATCAACAAACAAATTATGTATTAATAGAAAGAGGCATTATCAACATCTGTCTCCTGTAATTTCTCTCTTTTGAGAATGGATGAAATGCTGACTCAAAATCTACGAAGACGAAAAATACAGGTGTTTTTTTTTTAGAAGGGAGATCTACTTTTTTCACTAGATGGCTTAGAACCAAACTCTGACTTGAGTGTTAACAATCTTATTTGTCTATTAAGATGTTTTTCTGTTATACTTGTAGTTTATCTATGTACACTAGGCATATAATGTTCCTTACTATACTAAGTAAACTAATGGTATACTATACTAAGTAAACTAATGGTATGAGCCAAGGCGGTGCAGTGGTTAGAGTGCAGTACTGCGGGCTACTTCTGCTGCCTGGCGGCTGCCTGCAATTTGACAGTTCGAATCTCTCCAGGCTCAAGGCTAACTCACACTTCCATTCTTCCGAGATGGGTAAAATGAGGACCCAGACTGTTGGGGGCAAGAGGCTGACTCTGTAAAACTACTTAGAGAGGGCTGGAAAGCACTGTGAAGCATATATAAGTGCCTGCAGGATTGCTATAGGAGTCAAGCTATAATCAGGGTTTTTGCCTGTTCTTTATAAGCAGTGTTTCTCAACCTCATCAACTTTAAGATATATAGACTTCAGTTCCCAGAATTTACTACTCATGCAGAATCTTGCTAGTTTGATAGTATATATGCCCCACCCATTGTTTTTACAGCCCAAGAAACTAGGGAGGGTCTCTTCTGAGCGACCTGTCCCACCCACATTCCTGCTGCAGGCTAAACTGCTTTTTATCTGACTGCTCCCTTGGTTACATCACTTCACTCTTCTCCCGAGGTCATTCTCATATACCAGGGGTGTCAAACTCAAGGCCCGTGAGCGGACCCAGCCTGCGGGATGCTTAGATCTGGCCACCCTGGAAACAGTGAAGGACCGGCCTGCAGCGCTTCTGCCAGCGAAACCGGAGCTTGGGAGAACGCACACAGACCTCCCGAGCTCTGTTTTTACTAGCAGAGGGTTGCAGGAGGCTGTCGCAGCCAAAAACGGAGCTCCTGAGCCCATTTTCATTGGCCGAGCACTCAGGCCACCACAGGCGTCCCCGAGATGAGTAACGTCGAACTGGCCACACCCACCCCAATCCCTGAGGTCAAACATAACCCTGATGTGGCCCTCAATGAAATCGAGTTTGACACCGCTGCCATATACCTTTTATCTTCAAATTGCTAAGATTGCTAAACACTGGTTTAGAGGCCCCAACTCGCAGTTGTATTTATGATTATATATTCAATTATAAAATAAATTATATATCCTTATATTCAAACTCCTAATTCTCTACCAAACTAATGCTTTAAAAAAAAAAGAGGTTAATTACCCACTGCCAAGCATATTTCAGGGCTTCTTTTAAATCATTTTTAAAACTAGTGTTTTTGAATAAAATTAGAGAAGGGAGAAGATGAAAGTCCTGATGTAGTATGTTATTATGTGCTGCCTAGAGTCATATAGGAGATAGTTCATATAAGACCTATAAATAAATTAAATAAATGTCCAAATATTAACATGGATAAAATAAAACACATTTACAGACAGAGGGTTATCCCTGCAAATCTTACCCTTTCCAGGGCGAATGTCCTCACCACGTATTCTGCCAGAGTCTCCGATTTCACCTGGGTAATTTTAATGTCTCCGTACATCTCTGAGTCATCTGGCCAATATTTGGCACACTTAACCTGCATGCAACAACAAAACAGATTATGGTTAAGCCTGTTGTGGAGGAGGTAAGCATCATCGGAAGCCACTGGTGAAAAGGAACCCGAGAATCATCACTTACCCTTCCCACTTCTACCAGTTTTGTTATCATCACTATGCTGGAACAGTGTTCCTGCCACACCATCCGCCAAAAATCATAGACCATCTCCTGTTTGGGGCCTAGAGCACAGAGGAAGAATCCAAAAAAAAAAGGTTGCAACAGAGATAAAGAAAGTCTGGGACCTATTTAAATACCATGGCTATTTTAGCAAAAGCACTTAGACTTATATCTTCATCATCTTTTAATGGCTCCATAATTAATAATAAACTCCATCCTTGCAGGGTGGAGTCTGAGTAACTGAATGAAGCTAGCAGAGTGTTTTAATGGCCAGATGCCCTTCCTGTCACCAATGCAGAGTTTTGTTCAGCAGATATATATGCTCATTGTGCCCAGAGAGAGAAATATCTGCCTCTACCTAGGATCGAACTCACAGACTCCTGATTGTGAGGCAAGAGCTCCACCTCTAGGCCGCAGCACAACTCCAGCATTTAGACTTATATACCACCCCAAAGTGCTTTACAGCACTCTCTGAGCAGTTTACACATGTTAGCATATTGCCCTCAACAATCTGGGTCCTAATTTTACCGACCACAGAAGGATGAAAGACTGAGTCAACCTTGAGATGGCCAGGATCGAACCCCTGACTGTGGGCAAAGTTTGCCTGCAATACTACATTCTAACCACTGTGCTACCATGGCTATTTTACTCAACATATAATCTCAATTAAGTTTTGGATATTTTGTAATGCACTGAGGAAGCTTGAAGATGAAATATTTTGGGCACATTTAGTATACAGCGCATCTTCTTGTGCTGTCTCATTTCCATGTATGCAGAAAAATGGGCAAGGGTTAAAAGAAGAAAGCATGCTAAAAAGCCATATGCAGGTAGTAGGTATGAAGGTCTTACCTTGTGTGGCTATGAAATGGTTAGATCTTTGGTAACCCTGGAAATAAAAAAAATATGCATTATAGGAAGGAAAGAAGGAAGGAAGGAAGGAAGGAAGGAAGGAAGGAAGGAAGGAAGGAAGATTTTATCCATTTCTATATGCTCTAAGGTTTGCTACTCTGAAAGCTGAAGCCTCTTGCTTTCTTCCTGCAACAGTTATTCCAAAATCTACACACTTTTAAGGTGTACAGCCAGGGAAGATAATGTTCCATTTGATTTCTGTTTAAGTAATATACCTCAACCAAAACATCTTCCAAACCCTAAGCACCATTCGTAGCCTCCACGTCCCACCGCAGAACGGGTATTTCCAAACAGCTTCCCCAATGTACACTTTTCATAATTGTTTGTGCTGTTCCCATCCAATATGTATCCACTAGCAGTTCCTTTGCAACCATCTGTCTTTCTCTTTTGTACAGAGGTAGACCCTTCCTCCTCCTCACATCACAGTGATAGCCAAGAGCTATTTAACACAGCCAGAATGGGTTGCTCTGAGGTCCAATAAACACCTCATCAACTTCACCCCAGAAAAGCTGGAAGGAAATGCATGTTGCTGTTAGGAAAGCAACGTGGACATCTTTCTTATGGCAGCATTTTCCAGGCTGAGGAGGGTAACCAGAGGTTCTAGAGCCTCTATAAGAAACCACCCTGAAAATCCTGGGCATAAATCTTCCCTCCCAGAGCTTCTACTACTAAGTAACAACTTGCAATGTGATAAGAGGGAGAAATGATTAAATATACAGTCAAAATGTAATTGTGTTAGCTATGTGGAAAGGAGCAACATCAAATCTTTTATTTTATTTTTATTTTATCAAATTAGATTCTGCCCATCTCACTCATAACGTATATAATGATTATTCTGGATCGACTCACTACTTTAATGAATGGGACTGCTACTCTGTCATGCCAAATGCAATCTCTGATCCATAGATGCATATCCCTGTCCTAACAAGCACGGAAATATTTTCAAACACAAACTATGCATGCAGGTCTCTACTGAACACAGGGCTTCAACATATGATACTAAACCTGAAATCATCTCTAGGGAAAATGTACTCATCCATCCCAGAACACACAGGCCATTGGGATGAGCGACTAAAAGCAGAAGCAAATCACAGCTCAAGAACCCTGCATGTAGCACCATGACACAGAGAAGTCATGACAATTATTCCTCATTTTACAACCATTCCATTTAGCAACTGTTCAGAGTTACAATGTGTCAGAGTATATTCATGAACTGGAATAGAGCTTACTAACAAGGTCAGCCAATGAGAGCTGAATTGAGGGCTGAAACTTAAAGAGAGAATCTGGGTGTGGTTTATCTCTGTTCTGTGCTCAGCTCTAAAGTGAAAGAGAAACTAGCTTGCTTGCTGAAAACTAGAGTTCTGCTCTGAACCTATAACATGTCTGCTTCTGTTTGAGTTTGCTCCATGTTGGAGAAATCTACAACTGGTATTGTAAAATTTACTTTATGTGTTTATAAAGAAGTTAAATGAAGACTCAGCCATCTGTGTTTACTTTTCTGGTGCTGAATTTAGGCTGCAATACTCTGAACACAACAGTCCTGGAAAAAAGCGACTTATGACTGGTTCTCGCACATATGACCATCACAGCATTCTCCAGAGTCACATGATCAAAATTTGGACACTTGGCAACTGGCATGGATTTATGATGGTTGCAAAGCCCCAAGGTGATGTGATTCTATTTGCAACCTTCCCAGCTGGATTCCAGCAAGCAAAATCAATTGGGTGGGTGGGGGGTGGATTTGCTTAACAAGCTACACAATTAACTGAACTGCAGTGATCTGCTTAACGACTGTAGTTTAAAAAACGGTCATAAAATCAGGTGTGACTCACTTAACAGTGACCTTGCTTAGTAATAGAAATTCTGGTCCCAGTTGTGGTTGCAAGTCAAGGACTACCTCTATGCCCTGAGCAACCACTTCTTCTGAGCCAGAGATCTCCAAACTTGGCAACTTTAATTTATGGACTAACTGGCTGAGGAATTCTGGGAGTTGAAGTCCACAAGTTTTAAAGTTACTAAGTTTGAGACTCTGGTTCTAAGCCATTTAATGCACGCACACAGCTAACTCCCAAGTGAGAAAAAGATGGAAAAGGGCCAATCAACAAGAGCATATCAAGAAGCGCTTTGACTCAATAGCAGAGCCTAAGATTTCCCATATGGCCTTCAATCTCCCATGTTCTACTGTCTTTGCTAAGATCTGGCCAAGACAAACAGCCAGATCTCCACCATTTGCTCTCAGTTGCTATGGAAAAGGAGATATCTTACTAGGAGGCAGAGGCAGGAGCAGAATAAAAGAAAGTGTTTGGCTAAATATTACGGAAGCTCCAAGCCAAAAGGGAGCATAGGGTGCCTACCATTTGGGGTTTATTATTTCTGAATCGCTAACATCAAGAGCACACAAACATTTTCATTAGTCAATATTAATACTAATTTTGCAAATTGTTACCTTTTAAATTTAGGAGTTTTCACAATCATGAACACCTTTAAGTGCACAATTACTTGGGCTTTTACAAAGTACAAATGAGAGTGTAAGTGTTGTTGAAAGGCATTACAATGGGAACTACAAACATTTCAGTTTGAATGCCTGGTGCGATATTTGTGAAAGGTTGATACCACCTATACGGCATGAGAATTGAGGTTGTTAGTAATATATTGTGAGTAAAATGTATCCAAGTGGGTAAAACTAATCAGTCAATTATCCTTACATTACAAAGTATGGAAAAGAAGGAAGCAGAGCAGCGGCTTAGTTTTTCAAATATCTAGATTTAAGCTCAAGGAGACATATCATGCAAATAGACACAACACAATACAATACAATGTCCCATGTTGTAGGCAGTGAAGACAAATAGCAGCAAGAGCATGTAGACATAAACCAACCGTCGCATTTTACAGGACTCTCTGGGTGGTTTACAATGTAAGCATTATTTGCATATTCCCCCCCAAAATCTGGGGGGGGGGGATATGTCAGTAATAATTTTATTGACAATGGAAGGATGGAAGGCTAAATTAACTTCGAGTCCTATCAGGATCAAACTGCAGGCTGTGGGCAGAGTTTACCTGCAATACTGCACTTTAACCACTACATCACCAGGACAAAATTGTCCCAAATTTAGCACCTGGATTTCCTTGGATTTACCTGGATTTACTAACTAAAGGTTAGGAATTGCCCAATGGACTTAACTCCACCTGGCAGTTGCAAAAAGTCCTGATGTCTCTGTGAACTCATTATAGGACAGCTGGAACAGATGTTGTAAGGTGAAATTCAGTAACATCTGGAAGACTAGAACCTCACTATTTTAATTATACACCTCTTCTGAGTGAGCTGCATTGGGTACTGGTTTGTTTCCGGGGCCAATTAAAGTTATGACCTTTAAAGCCCAATGTGGCAGGGGACCAGATTACCTGTGGAGCCATCTTTGTTCATTTACATCACCCCATCCCACCCAGTCAGGCAGGTAGAGTATGCTACATCAGTTCTATTTGGTTAACCTACATTTAGGGTTAAAGGTAAAGGTTCCCCTCGCACATCCATGCTAGTCATTTCTGGCTCTAGGGGGCAGTGCTCATCTCTATTACAAAGCTGAAGAGCCAGTACTGTCCAAAGATGTCTCCGTAGTCATGTGGCCGGCATGACTAAATGCCAAAGGTGCATGGAACGCTGTTACCTTCGCACCAAAATTGTCCCTATTTTTCTACTTGCATTTTTTACATGCTTTCGAACTGCTAGGTTGGCAAAAGCTGGGACAAGTAACAGGAGCTCACTCCATTACACAGCGCTAGGGATTCGAACCGCCGAACTGCCGATCTTTCTGATTGACAAGCTCAGCGTCTTAGCCACTGAGCCGCTGAGTCCCTACATTTAGGGTTAGTCATGTGCATAAACTGAGTACAACTTTACCCCAATCGTCCTTTGAAATAAATGTCTATGTGTGATGAATGAATTGTAATAGGGGAAAATACAGACTTTTTTCTCCCCTTTCTAACAGTGTTCCAGGTGGCATATGATTGCATTATCACCTGCTTTATTTTTGAGCTCAGTGGGATGAGACCATATTTCTGGAGAAATCCAGTGTCCTTGCTTTTCTCTCTCTGCATGTTCCAGACCTTGTTCTGCATTACAGACTCCTGGATCCTGATCTCTTACTCTCTGACTTCCAACTACAGACTATAGTAAGACAACGGGACCTAGAGGAAGATCCCTGAAATGGATCATGAAAAGGGATCAGCTTAAAGCAATAACTTTGAAAACGAGAAAGAAAGCTGCTTAAATTGCTTGCTTCCTTGTTTGTATCACTCTGCGATAGATGAAATAAAAACTACAGAGTGTCCCGACGTGTTTGTCACTCAAGAACCCAACTTCCTACTTCTCATCTATCAGTAAATTATTTTTGCCACCTTCTTCATCCATAATGCCTGGTTGGTCTTAAACCCAAGTGTCTCTTAGCGCTAGAATTTTGTTCAGGCAATTGTCCTTTCAACAAGGGACACCCATGTCTGCACAACGGTGCCAGACATTTTGAAAAGAGACCCACCAAGAAACAAGACAGACTTCTAAGGACCTGCTGTTTCAGAGCAGAGAACATAAAACCCACCACCAAAAACAGCCAGGATGTATCTGTTGTGGTGGGATAAGATGAGGTAGGAAAATCCCTTCCCTCCAAAATGAACAATTATGGAATCTTGATTGGAGGAGAAATGGGAAAGAAGAGAAGGACAAGACATATACTTACTTCTCGGTTTATCCGAATCTTAGCAAGCCCACAGGTTTGAGAGAAAAAGAAATCAGAGACAGACAGATTAGTGAGACAAGAGCAAAGGAAGAATAGACCCATTAGTAAAGGGGGTGCATTAAAGAGCAACACTGATGGGTGGAGAAGGAGCAGCAGCAACAGGAAAGAATGATGGGTTTACTGAACTTTCTTTCGTTGAACTTTCTCATTCAGAAACATTTAAAATGTAGTTTTGAATGTTGTCCCCTTTTGACTATTTGCATTTTGAGTCTGAAATGTGAACGCTCAATGTGACCTTTGGAAACTGAGAACTTCTAAAATATCATCCCTCTTTGATGTCAGCAAACAGGATTTAACACTTGTTTAACAAAACACTATCAAAAAGTAGAAAGGATTGCATCAAGGTAATCAAATGTTTATGATACATTAATTAACAAAATCAAATAACAATGTAAAGTTTATATATTGAACCCAAATGTTATTATATGTCAATTACAGATACCCAAATATTGACAACACCTTCCAATATCCATGGACTTTCCAATATTTTGGACAAGTGATGGCTTTCATCAATCATTTTTTCCCTTATTCTAGCGACAGCTTTATTTCCAAAATCAAATAATTTCTAACGTTAATTCTGGGACACAGGGATTCCATCCATGTGCTTCTGTGACTTGATGTGGTTGTTCATATTATTTCAGTAAAGTGTTTTTTTTTAATTATTTTCATCAGGAAGAACATTGGGGGATGTTCAAGCTAATCTAAGAGTTGCTTCGGAAAACAAGCTCAATGCTTGAGACACATGACCGGTTTAGTTATATACTGCATATACTTTTAGTCTTCTGATTTATTCCTGCCCTATACGATTTAATTGTGCAAATGAACAAAAGAGGATTCCAAAAGTGAACAGGAATAGATAAGAGCATGAAAAGGAGGAACGAGGAGGAAAATGAGAATTTCTAAGGATGCATACAGGGGTGGGCTTCAAACATTTTAGCAACGGGTTCTCTGCTCGGTTGCTGGGTGGGCATGGCCATGGTGTGGCCTAGTTGGCCTCCTGCACCATGGCAGTGGGAGGGGGCGTTTTGGCCCTCCTCGAGCTCCGGAGGCTTTCTTCGAGCCTCCGGGAGGGTGAAAATGGCATCCCCGGGCTCAGGAGGCTCTTTGGAAGCTGGAAACGGGCCTGTTTCCAGCCTTCCCGAACTGCCAGGAGGCCCATTTTTCATCCTCCCTGAGCCTCCATGTGCGCCCTCCAGATATCTATATCCAAAACGGACCATGTGGGGACTCCTGGGAGAGGTAGGGCAGGGTGGGTGGAGCTAGCCAGGAGTGGGATTTGGGGGTTCTCCGAACTGCAGAGAATCTTAGGGTTCTCCCGAACCCCTGCGAACCCCCAGCAGCCCACCCCTGAATGCATATATAAAACAGAGACTTATATGACAGAAGAGATACGAAATTCTGCATTACACAACCAAATAGGTTTCTATGGCAAAAAATGTATAACAAAAGCAAGAGAAGCTGACATACTTACATCAATGTAGTTGGCATTGATATAGTCAGAGTTGGGATCACCAAGAAGTGGGTGGAGTTTAACCCGGTGTCGGTCATCTGGAAACAAAACCAGATGTGACTGTTAGGGCAGAACAGGTAGAAGGGCATCGAGACCCCTTTATATACTCACATATCAAATTCAAAATGGTTCCTCCTTCCTCCCTTCAGTAAATTTCCAGAAATTCTAGTTCGGCAGAGAGATGGGATTCATAGACTCCAGCAGTGAAGTTCACTTTCTATATTTTCTAGTAGGATTTGTGAATGTTGGCTTGCCACTCCACAGTTCTTCCAAAAACGCAGTGGAAAATTACAAAAATACTCTAATCTGACTTGCAGTCTCGCACTTTGTCACTTGCTAATCCATGCAATTTGATGTAGAAATCCCTTTTAATTATATTTCTTTATTAGATTGATATCTGTCAGGCTTCAAAAAAAAACCAAGAAAGGCACACACTGTTACTTTGAAACCGTGTCCTTTATTGTTCCTCAAGTGTAGGCAGGCAGATATCTTGCCAAATTAAAGCAACTATTTCCGCCTTTAAAGATATGCTCTGAGAACTTGGGAAGGAGCTAACTTGACCCAAATTATCTAAATTTGATCTTGTGGAATGCAAACCCCTCCCTTCCTGGGAATCCAGACTACATTCCACCACAAATATTCTCCCAGGACACAACTCTCGGCGGCTTCCATTCCAAGGTGCTTTTCCGGGAGGCAACTGGACTTTCTTGCTTTTTCTTTTGAAGACGTTTTGCTTCTCATCCAAGAAGCTTCTTCAGCTCAGACAGGATAGAGGGGAATGGAAGGACTATCTTTTCAGAGTTGAAGAAGCTTCTTGGATGAGAAACATAACGTCTTCAAAAGAAAAAGCAAGAAAGTCCAGTTGCCTCCTGAAAAAGCACCTTTGGAACAACCATGACCTGGATGACTAAGAGTCTCTACAGACTTGGCTTCCATCTTATAAAAGCTTAGGTAGCAAGTAAAAACATGTTATCTTACTTGACTTTTGGGCTATAATCTGGATCTAGGGTTACATACTTCATTTTTATTGAGTTGTACATCATCATGGGTTTCATCATCATCATCATCATCCACACGCAATAGTCCTTCTCTTAGCACTGAGCACATTTTGAGAGAGACCTTAATATTTATGCAGAATTTGAGGAATCTTCCCAGCCAACTGATGGCTTCTTGTTTTTGAACGGTGCCACATTTGGCAACATAAGGATCTCCAGTTGGAGGAGGGTTGTATCAGTCACTGAACCTGCAAATGCTAAGGACACAGCAGGATTCTTCTGAAGAAGCTTTCATAATGACCGCTCAGGCTTTGGAGGGAATGCCTCTTCTGAGCTACCAGTCATACTTGGACTCAGAGGAAGAGTAAGGATGACAACAGGATGTTTTTGCTTCTGCTCTCCTGTAATGTACCTTCCGTCAGATCTTACAGTTACACCGCCTTCAGCCAGCTTCTCTTTTCCTGAAGAATCTCTCTTTCTCCCGCCCACTAATGTGTTCTGCAAAATCCATATGCTTCACTGTTAGAGCAACACAAACTGAGATGCAATGCAGCATATGTCCCCAAGAATATATACTCCCAATCAGAGAGATTAGATATATGCCAGTCTGCACCATTACTGTGGCAGAGTAGAAGAGAAGAGCAGTGTCAAAATGAGATGTGCTGTTTTTTGTCCACACAGGAGAAAGACAAACACACTTGTGTTATTAGGTCAACTGCCAATGTGTTCCTTTTAGCCTTTCCTTCCAGAAAAGCTGGCTAGGGAATGGAGTAAAATTGGTGCTTGGCTTTGCCTAAGCTATTTTGAACAATTTTGCTCTCATTTTTTTTGCCTCTGTGATAACATGGAATTTCAATTTGGGAAACAGCAGATAGATAGCTATAATTAGGAGCAATGAAAATAGCCAGCGTGGCAAACAAAAAGCAGCTGCCGGAGGATATATTTTATAGCAGAAATTCACAATAAATTGCATTCATCCTTCCTGTCCCCAGAGAGAGAGGATATCCCTGGCTATTCATTTAACTATTTTTTTTTAAATGCATTAAATACCAAACACTATCATCATTTGATGACTCTCTTTGTCTTGCACAAGCTGAGTTATATCATACTAAGCCATAGTTCGCTTTAACCGAGTTGTATTATCCAAGGCACAGCAGCCTAACTTATAAATCATGGCTTAGAATGCATAATGATTAGGTTCAGGCAAGCTACTCTATGGTTTAGCGAAATCTGGAACTTCAACCACCTGCACCCACAAAGAGCACGCCCTATTTAAAGGAGATCATAATGATGGCTTGTTACACAGTGGAATCTTATCATACTCCAGGCCAGCTCCTTTTCTCAAGAGATATTCTGCCTCATCCAGTAGTGAATCCCGATGTAGTTACCCAGTAATGAATTAAAACTCCAAATGAAATCAAGCCCTCAACCCTTGTTGGAATTAAGAAGCCAGTATCATTTCAGCCCCATTCCTTCTCCAGGTGTCATGCTATCCAAGTCATGTCTATTCAACACATTGAAATATCTCCAGCTACAAGACCCAGAGCAGGTATGTAGGTCAGAGAAGGCCATAACTAAATCTCTAACTCTTTGCTCCAATTTAGTGTTTTTCTGGATTTTTGCAGTTCACATACACTAGAGATAGTCTATCTCAAATTGCCCATGCATTTCTTATAACAAGACAGATGTGGAATGCAAATCTTTCCCTCCCCATTATTATTATTTCATAGAAATGCCTCCAGGACAGATGAGAAACACAGAACAATCGCTGGAGTAAAAAAGTTTATAGTTGAGGCTAGCCTTTATTTTCTTGCAGCATTCTAGCCTCCTTTTTTCATTCAAAATCCAGTGAAATAAAAGAAGAGGAGAAATGCAGAGGAGAGGCAAGTGTGTGCACATACTGAGGGCCCAGGATGCACTTATTCAGCTGGAATTTGGGAACAGAGCAAATATGAAGTGTGCATTATTGTTAATATCACTTTGTCTGTAAAAAAAAAATCAACTATCTACAGGTATTCCTTGACATATGATCACAATTGAGCCCAAAATTTCCATTCCTAAGGCAAAACAATTGTTAAGTGAGGTTTTGCCCCATTCTGTGACTATTCACACCGCAGTTGTTAAGTGAATTATAGCAAATGTTACTTAGTAACATGGCTGTTAAATGAATCTGGCTTCTCCGTGAACTTTGCTTGTCAGAAGGTCCACTGGACACTGCAACCATCATAAATACATGCCAGTTGCCTAGCAACGTGAATTTTGATCACGTGACCAGATGGGGAAAAAAAAAACCAGAGTTTAGAACCTTGGTAAGACCACACTTGGAGTATTGCATATAAAAAGATGTTCCCTATGTATCTTATGACTATCATTGTGTTGTACCTTATGATTCTTGACGAATGTATCTTTTCTTTTTATGTACATTGAGAGCACATGCACCAAGAGAAATTCCTTGTGTGTCTAATCACACTTGGCCAAAAAAGAATTAATTAATTAATTAATTCATGTTGAGACGTTGCAATGGTAAGTGTGAAAATGACCCTATGGGATTTTCAGAGCTGTTGTAGTTTTGAACGATCACTAAAGGAATGATTGTAAGTTGAGAACTACCTATACACCCTTTTGAACCCTTCTCCGGCTATTATTATTTCTAGATATCTAATGTGTTAAATTTATATTTACTGACAAAGAAATAAAGGGAGATTCGTATAGATCTATTTCAAGCTATTTAGCTTTCAGAGATCATTTCTATAGTATCCTACTAGAGAAATGCACTCAAACACTGGAGGCTTTCAAGAAGAGATTGGACTGCCATCTGTCAGAAATGGTGTAGAGTCTCCTGCTTGGGCAGGGGGTTGGACTAGATGACCTACAAGGTCCCTTCCAACTCTATTAATCTAAAAGAGATCTAAAAAGTGATCAGCCCACATCAGCTAGCCAAAGCGGAAGCAGTATACTCTGTCCCATATTTGGGTAGACCAGGTTGCCCTGATAGACCAGTCTCACAGGAAAACACTTAGATATCTAATGGTTCTTATCAAATCATTTGGAATTTCCATGATGTACATTTTTTTTTAATATGGTCCTTTCCTCTGACAACTGAGAAATAGGCACCCCATCCTATCCCAGTGTCCCACCTTCACTTTAATATTTTCACATGATTGTTTTTGCAAATGGAATCAATACCAGTTCAAAATCTACCTGCTGCAAATTTGACAGAGCAAGATCCGAGTAAAACCCAAACCAAATCCATATTGTGCAAACTCTGCAGAGTTTCAGGGCATTTCAACTCTCCTAGCATTAAAGGAAGGATTATTGATTTTTTTCTTTGTTTCTTTCTTTTAGGGAAAGGTTTTTGTCTTAGACACTTACAGGTAGGCATGTGATCTTGTCTCCCTTTGGTCTTTTCTTTCTTCTTTGAAGCATCCCAGCCTTCAAAGAAACTCTAGGAGGAAGAGAAGACTGTTATGTGCATCAAGTACCCTTAGGAATAAGTACACAGCATTTCCATCGGCAATACACATAACAATGGTTTCTCTAGAGCAGGGGTCGCCAAACTTTTGGACCTCAGGGATCACCAAACTCATAATTTTAGATCCCAAGGACCACTAACTGGTTCTGTGGGCATGGCCTAATTTGTGGGTGTGGCTTGGTGGTCATGTGACTGGCTGAGCATGGCTTGTATGCAAATATTATAAATATTTATATAAATATTGAATTTTTTATAAAAAAAAGAGCAAGTTTTACCCAAAATCAGGCAAAGCAGGCAGGCAGATTGAGTTGCTCACAGAATCACATATTAATTCAGAAATCTATCTATCTGCCATTGGCTAGCTCAGTCTGTCACATAAAATTTGCTTGCAAGCAAACTCACAAAATTAACTCACAACACACCATGTATGTAAATATTGAATTTTTTATATAAAAAAGCAACTTTTATCCAAAATCAGGCAAAGTAGGCAGATTGAGTTGCTCACAGAATCATTCAGTGATCTATCTGTCTGTCATCGGCTAGCTCAGTCTCTCAAATTTGCTTGCCATGAGTCTGCACTGAATTGCTTGCAAGCAAACCTTCAGTCCTAAGGGAGGTTTGGCTGTGCTTAGCTAGAAAGCAAGAAATCCAACCATTTCCTGCTTCCTAGCTAATCTAAATCTCCCAGCACAGCAGAACAGATGATGGTTGGAAAAAGGAAAAATAGCAACTTAGCAGACAAGTTTGCTGGGTAAGGAGTGGGGGCGGGCGGGGAGGGTTCCCGTGGGCCATGTGGGCTGAGCAGCCTTGTGTTTCTACACAGCCTGGATTAATTGCTTTGGGGGGGGGGTGCTCTGGGGGGGTGAGATTTCTCTGCGGCCCACCAAAATTTTCTCATGGCCCACCAGTAGGCTGCGGCCCACCAGCTGGCGACCGCTGCTCTAGAGGCTAGCCCCACTACACTGATTCAAAACAGGTTACCAAGTGTAGATTTTATTTGATGGACTGATGCTTATATGCCTACATCCAGACTGCACAGCTTCAAAAGAGAGAGGGCTATAAGAACTAAAGTTGCAAGGGAGTTCTAATGTTAGACCAAATCTTTATACAGTATATTATAGTAGCAGATGTTTCCCAATCTCAACACTGGGAAGAGAACAGCCCAATTTTTATAGAAGGGAAGGCGTGGAGTTTATAACCTTGGTAAGACCACACTTAGAGTATTGCATATAAAAAAGATGCTGAGCTTCTAGAAAGAGTGCGGAGAAGAGAAAACAAAGATGATTAGGGGACTGGAGGCTAAAACATATGAAGAACAGTTGCAGGAACTGGGTATGTGTGGTTTAACGAAGAGAAGGACTAGGGGAGACATGGTAGCAGTGTTCCAATATCTCAGGGGCTACCACAAAGAAGAGGGAGTCAAGCTATTCTCCAAAGCACCTGAGGGGAGAACAAGAAGCAATGAATGGAAACTAATCAAGGAGAGAAGAACTAAGGACAAATTCCTGATAGTTAGAACAATGAATCGGTGGAATGGCTTGCCTTCAGAAGTTGTGGGTGCTCAATCACTGGAGGTTTTTAAGAAGAGATTGGGCAATCATTTGTCTGAAGTGGTGTAGGGTGTCCTGCCTAGGCAGGGGATTGGACTAGAAGACCTCCAAGGTCCCTTCCAACTCTGTTATTCTGCTATTTTTGTTATTTATTTCTACTGCAGACATTTATGAAGGGCTTCATTTTTTGTTTCTGCTTCTACTAGATCTCCTAAAGCTAACCCACAATATTTAAGTTAAGTTGGTTAAATGTCGCCACACTGCAGAAGGAATGGCACAAGACATAGCCACTGTATCAAAAATTGCTTGGAACTGATTTAATGGAAGAGAAGCTATCCAAAATTAATCGGGCCTTGCTAAATAGGAATTTTTTTTAAAAAAAGAGGAAAAAGCTCTATAAAATAAATAAGAATGAAACCAGTGTCCCGTTCTCTTCACATTGTCTGAACCACAGGAAAAATATGTTGCACACTAACAGGAAGTTGCAGTCATTACTGGCTATTCCCCTGGGTACCATTAAGAGAAAAACTTTGGGCCTTGTTCCATAGTCTCATAACCTGGAGGAATTAACAAAGGAACTGCGATGCTCCCAATTTATCCTTTCCACTATTTGAGCCTCTCTGGAGAAATTAAGATTTCAAGTACAACTAAAGTTTAGCTCTCAGGTACGTTCGAAGTCTTTTACTTGTTATATCAAAAGAAAGGAAAGTGTGCTTGAAGGGCAAATGGGGTTGGGGAAGAGAGACCAGGACATGGGATGCTTGATGAGTCCAGAGATGAGACTGGCTCCTGGGGCATCTTTTGCAGGATCCCCTTCAACCCTGGCATTGCTCTGGGATACCTCGCTGAATGAACCAGAGGACAGCAGAGAAATACATTTATCTGAAATTTAAATCATAGGGCACATAACAAGAAACTGTGTCAGGGAGAATTCACACCTCTGTTGTGACCTACTCGCACTTAGTTTAAATGTGTGGAATTTCAATCACTCTTTCACAACTTGACTTCTCCCTGGTGGCGCTGTATTTCTTTAACAGCACAACTACCGTAACAGTCAGGAATGATGGGAGTGTAGTGCAATCGCCTCTGGAGGGCTATCAGATCCTTATTACTGAACTACAGATTTACCACAATCCCTGAGTCTGTCTGTCTTCCTTCCTTCCTTCCTTCCTTCTTCCCTCCCTCCCTTCCTTCCCTCCCTCTCTCTTCCTCTTCTTTTCTTTTTTCTAATCACCAACTCAAAGTGGCAAACATGTCCAACATACTTCTATTTTCCCCAATGAGCTTTTGAGGTGAGTTGGGCTGAGAGAAAGTGCGTGACTGGCCCAAGATCACCCAGCTGGCTTTCATAGCTAAGACAGGACTAGAACTCCCTGTCACCCAGCTTCTAGCCTGGTGCCTTAACCTCTAGACCAAACTGGCTTTCTTCAGTAGCCAAAAGATAGACAAAAGAAACCTTTGTAGAAAATTGATGAAATGTGTCCACTCCCATCAACCAAAACATTGTCCATTCTTGGTCATTGTCACAACAAAGCTAGGCCCATTGTTTAATTGTCCACAAGGTAGAAGCAGAAACCAAACCCTTTAGAAATGTCTGCACCAGGTTTTAAATCTAGATTCCACACACACACCTCCATTTTCTCTTAAATTAAAATTGGGTTATTCACTTCCCAGTGTTGAGATTGGACTGGATTTCTGGGCTTTGGGATATCACCACCACCTGTCCCTGCTATATAATGTTTGGATATACATTCCAGTTTTTTTTTTTCTTTTATTTCATGAGCAGCTTCCATGGATGCTGGTGTGATATCATAGAAACACCTACTGCTGAAAATAATGTGTTTCATTCCCTGTTTCTTATTTCCAAGGGCTTTTCAAACAACTGGTCTGGGACATGCATAGCAGCAACCTTTCAAGGTGCCCCAATTGCTATATTTTAACCAGCCCAGGTTTGTCAGACAAGCCCAGACCAGTAATCCTGGAGAAAAAGGTCTCAAGCAGTTGGATATGAGTCAGTAATTTTCTGCAACCAAGAAATCCTGCAGAATACCATACTGTTTGTGACAACATCTTGAAATGGTGTAGCAGAAAAATGTTCTGTTTGGATACAGCAGAAGAAACAGCACTGGTGGTTTCAGGAGCATGAGATATTCTGGGCATCATGTCATGGTGGCTTTGGACTGCTTGTAGCTTTTCCAAGTCAGCAGTGGGAAACAGAATCCCACAAAAGGAAGATTTCTCCAGAAAAGGCAGATGAAAGAAAAAGAGGTTTCATCCAAGAGAGAATGTATTTATGTCATTAAACTCTTGCAAGCATGTCAGAAACCTTCTTTCACATTTTTCCACTCTGATCATTTTTATTCCATTGAATGGAAAAAGAGAGTGTTTTTTAAAATTTGTTTTTCCTAAGTTGAACCAAATTTCAACTACATTATCAGAGGTGGAATGCATGGGAAGTGAAGAGAGAGAAAGGGTGAGCTTTAGACCACTTTTGTGTCCTTTCTCACCTCATATTCTTGCTTGAAGCCATACCCTTCTGCTGTTTTCATTTGATTGATGTGCTGGAGAAGATCGGCCACTCGGACAGCAGGGTGAAGCTGCCCAGTGTGATAGGGGGAGCCTTTGCGTCCACACTGCCTTCGTGGGGACCCCCCTAAAAGACTGCTGGACTCATTGACAATGTTGGAACGTTGTTCACCTGGAAAGGAAAGAACACAACATCACAGAAACACAAAGCAATAGATTCTCAGAAGAACAGGAGAGTGGATAACAATTCATCTATTGAGTGATGAACTGATGGGTGAGAAATTTGTTTAAATCATCAATGTGTATATTCCAAATTTATGTATAAATCACACTGCAAATTTTCATCAATATTAGCATGCTGCTAGAGTTTGCAGTACCAATTTATCAATAGAAAATGTGTATAATGTATTTACAAAAATGTCTACATTAGCAAAAGGCAAATGTATAAAACCTCTACATGAACAAAAACTGGTTATGAGAAATATGCCTATTAGGACAAAAATACACTGTATGTGAATAAATTTTCTTATAAGGACATAAGAAGGAAGTAACGCTTGTCACTCAATCCAACTTATTTCTAGAAATCTGGTTTCTCCGTCATGTTGAAGTTAATAGATGCATTTTGAAAAGAGTGAATGTGAATTCAAAGTTTTTGTTCTATCAATATTCACCTCTAGCATTATACAAACAAGTGAATCAATGTAATGACATAGTTGGAAATTCTTTTTAAAAAAATATTAGAAATAAACAATCTGGGGCACTTTAGGGATTTTTTTTTGGTCTCTCATTCCCAGCATTTTTGACCCTTGATTGTTTTGGTTGGAATTGACTAGAAATACCACTCAAAATATCCAGAGGACTCCAGATTGCTTAGGTAAAGGTAAAGGTTCCCCTCACACATACGTGCTAGTCATTTCTGACTCTAGAGGGTGGTGCTCATCTCCGTTACAAAGCCAAAGAGCCAGCACTGTCCGGAGACGTCTCTGTGGTCATGTGGCCAGCATGACTAAACGCCGAAGGCGCATGGAACGCTGTTACCTTCCCACCAAAGTGGTCCCTATTTTTCTACTTGCATTTTTACATGCTTTTGAACTGCAAGGTTGGCAGAAGCTGGGACAAGTAATAGGAGCTCACTCCGTTATGTGGCGCTGGGGATTCGAACCGTCGAATTGCTGACCTTTCTGATTCACAAGCTCAGCGTCTTAGCCACTGAGCCACCGCATCCAGATTGCTCAGTCCCGTTTTAAATTGTGCCCTCACTGAGATGAAATCACTGCAAAATACTACAGTCATTTTGGAGAAACACCAAATTCTGCAAGTCTATTTAGTTTCTCCTCTAGTCCACCCAGAAAAGCTTGCAGAAATGTTTGCATTAGCAAGAAAACATTTTAATGTCATGTCAGAACATTAACTGAGCTGTCCATAAAAGCAATTTATCCTCTGGGATAAAACCCCAATCACTATTATAATGGCAATAATGTGATGCTACTGACATCTATATGACCCCCTCATCCTGAATGGAATTGTCTTAACAATTTTCTGAGTAGTTCTAGGCTTTTATACCAATTACTCTGAAAGGAATAAGCTCTCCTCCTGCCAGGCAGGTAAATTCCTTGGTTCTGACTGCCCAATTCCTACCTCCAATGAGAAAGGATAACCTCCTTCAACATAATGGGAAAGTGGGTCAAGAATTATGAAAGAAATAAAAATACACATCAAAGGATTTTAATTAGGGTCACTGACCAGGAGTGAAGGAAAGTATACTAAAAATGGTGGAGGGGAAAGGAGACTTTTTGCCAAGTTTGGAACTGCTACACAGTTACTTTGTGTGCATGAATCCTTTCCAAACCTACAGTTTGATGCTTGGTAAGATGTGAACTGGGGTACTGCACTTGGGGGTAATGCTTTTCCCACCCCCAGTGCAATGATCAGATGTTTATATTCATACGAACGTAACTAATAACTGAGTTTGTATCTTATGATTTGTGAGGATTGTATTTTATGATCATGATTTATCACTTGCTGCTTGTATGTACACGGAGAGCTTAAGAACTGAAGACAAAGTCTTTGTGTGTCCAATCACACTTGTCCAATAAAGTATTCTATTCTATTCTATTCTATTCTATTCTATTCTATTCTATTCTA